GTATAAGTAATGACAATGTGAACGACCGTATTATTCACGAGAATCGTATGATAGTTACGCGATAATTCGCGATTTATTCCACGATGCCGCGATGACATTAACTATTGCTATCTTTATCTCAAAAGATACGTTTGTTTCAACGTATGTAAACCGACAAGTAGGTATAGAGAGAGAAAAAGAGTGGGTGAGAGAAATGATTAAAAATTAGCAAGCTCGAAAACTATTATTTAAATAATGATAAAATTTTTATAAAAGATTACTTTTATATATATAAATATAAGAGCCGTGTCCGTTTTTCTTATCTTAATGTTTGCCATTACGTTTTCTTTGGTCATCTCCGCGAAATTCCCGAGACTTCCGCGAGAATCGCGTGTCGCGAGCTACCCACTCTCGAGGAACAATTGATACTGTCGTCTGCGGAGATAATCCCAGGAAATGTCATCTTGCAAATTCATCCACGAATAGATCCGCGCGTGCTTTTGCGAGACTTTACAAAATTAGGTTACGCGTTTCAAAAAGGAAAAAAAAGTAATGTATACGATCATTCAAGATTATGGTGTCGTAAATATGATTCCGTGATATTTTTCAATGAGAAATAATAATCATCTAAAAGATTTTAAGATATTTATAATGTATCCTGTACATAAAATTATATAGTATAAATAAAATATATATAGAAATTAATTGATAAATATATTGAAAGATTTGATTTTTTTGTTTATCAAAATTTATATAAAATTCTCTATAAAATTAGTAGTAAATAAAAGTTTTGGTAATTAAATCGCCTAATTCGAGTTAAATCATTTAATAAAATGATACATATATATGATATACTCAGATTGTTATTAAATACCAAAAGATATTTAAATAGTATGTTTTTTTCTCATAATTATTCTAATGAGCCCTAAATAATGAAAGAAATGTCATTTTTGCGAGCACAATTTCAACAAAGAAAGAGATAATATTAATAATAGAAAACTGTTTCTCGGGATACAAGAAACTCGTGTTACTTATTAGAACTCGTGTTTCAATAATCTACTCTCATACTCAACTACTATTCAGCATTAATTTAGAGAAGTATATTTTGACGTCGCATGTTCTCGATGCTGCATTGCGACGCGAAATACAAGGTGGCTCTATTAATCGTACTTTTCGTCGTGTCGCCGTAAGTGCTCTCTCGTCGTGCTATCCGAGATTGCACAGTATTGCTCGCAATTTGCTATACTCGGTTTCCACATTCCACTGACGTCATTTATATATGCGCGTCTCTTCCCCGCGAGAAGAGTCGCGGGGAAGATGCGTCTTTGCTCACTCGCTCGCTCGCGGCGAAGTTAACCCTTGCCCTGTGCAGGAGAAGCGCGAAGATGGCGAAATTGCATCGAATATTACGTCGAACCGTCACGCGGTTCGAGAAAGTGTTTATTGTTTTTTTTTTTTTTTTATGAGTATCGAGATGCTTTTGCAATGTTGTACTTCTAATTCCCGAAATTTGACACTCTACGAATTCTTTACAATTCGTCCTTTATTTTTTATCTGCAATTTATAGGACGATTTTTCTCCACTCTTCAATTACTCCTTTTTCGATGTGCAAATTTCTGTTTTAAACTCATGTTATTATTTACTATACATGCGTTAACCCGATGCAATATTAAAATTTATCAACAAAAATTAAATAGGCAATTAAATTTGATCATATATTCAATACAATTAAAATTTATCATATGTTCGAAATACACGTTATCTCAGCAAAAGCTTTCTATGTTTACGGCAAGGAACATTTTTTTACCATTTTCGTATAAAAAAAAAAAAAGCAGATAGATGAATTGCTGCAAAACCGTCGTTTCGACACGCTCGATATAGTGTTTCGACTCGCAATAAAAAAATGTTACAGCGCGTAAGAGACATAGTAGCTTCAGCGACGATGGCGAGCTTCGTGGATCGCGTACATAGGAAGGCAAGAAAGGTCACGGCTCTGACCCGTTTCGACGTCTTATCGGCCTCACGGCGAGCAAAGTTCGTCTTCGTAGAAGACGCGAGCGAGCAGACGTGATCCGGAGAGATACAGCTGACTTCCCGTTTGCCCCGTAGCTTGATTAATGCTTTAAAATGACCGGTGACCGTGTGTTTTTTTTTTTCGTGCCACTTTAAAATTCAAATCTTTTCTTAGCCTTTAAACGAAAATATTATATCGCATACTTATCTCTTGAGTATCACAATTAAGATTTTAATTTTTCAAACTCGAGCGACTTGACGCAATTATCACGATATTTAAAATATCTAATGAATGACGAAGTCAATAATTGAATTAATTAATCAGTAACTAGATTTAACTTACGATTACTTCAACTTGTAACAATAATTAATTAAAACACAAATGAGAAAAAGAGAGTAATAACATCCTATCCTTGTGTATATATTTTAGAATATATAAATCTTAAAAATATATTATTATTAAAATAGGTTTATAATATCTTTTTACTTATTTTATTATTTATAATAGTGTGCTTATTATTTTTGGTGAACCTGGAACTTCTGGGTAGGAGTTTTATGACTATTCTCGATCATTCTTACTGCATGCAGCCTAGTTTTTAATTAAAAAACATGTATGGGTTTATTTTATACACGCTTATAAGATAGGGAAGATTTTCTTAAAGTATTTGTATAGTTCACGTTGTCCCCCATGTCGTTTCCAACTGCGGGAAATTATCGCGTAAGAGCATGTTAATTACAACACAGGGCACGAACTTTGCACGCATCGACTCATTACGGACGGCATTTTCGCAGCAACCGGCTCGCAACCTATACGTATCTACCTATCTACGCGAGATTAATATGCGGTGCCTGGTGCGAGATTCACATCGCCCACGATCGCAAGCATAGCTACGAGAAATTCTGCGCATTTCCAGACGTTTGTATGGGATCTCGCATGCCTAACCATCTGACATATTCGAGTATATCCGGACGTCATATCTTTACTAGAATGTAAAACGATACGATAAGCTGCGATGCCAAAGAACTGTTTCGATAAATTCGTTATCGATACGTGAGTTATCTATTCGCTAGAAAATAGGTCATAGGTAGTAAAATTCACATTTAAATTTATATCGAAAATCTAGAAGAGATAAAACTTTACCGTTTTTTTAAATCATTTTTGGAACACTGTCAGTATTGAAATACATAATACTAGTTGTTATTAATAGTAATGAATTGAACCTTATTTAAACACTTTGGAAAAGATTAATATTAAAACTAAATTAAGTTTAAAATTGAGTTTATGCTTTTGTATTTACAATTAACTTTTTATACTTAAAGTTAGTAAATTTTATAAATTATATATAAAATTTAAAAAATTTGGTTTATTAATATCTCAAAATTTCTTTCTTGCTCTTTTTAGCGAATTTTAAAATTAAAAAGATAAAAGACTAATTTTTTTCATTGTATACATATATATAATATACCAAATATTTTTCTGATTAATCGTTTGCGCACGACATTTTAAACGAGTAGAATTAATTACGAATTAAATAATTATAAATTAATGCGTTGCGATTGAATAAAATTCGGACGTGGCTGCCAAGTGGTTAAATGCGTCGCGATCAGCGCGATGTGTCGGCGTCGGTATCGGATTAGCGCGAGTGTGTGCGATTATCGGTGGGAAATTGTACGTCGGGGGCATTTAAATCCGGTCTCGTTGACAATGGACGCACCCGAAAAGTTACCCAGGCTCGAGCGGCACCGACATGCGCCACTTTTTCTCGGGTTCCATACAGATCACTCTGTGCGAACGCGCACCCCGTTCCGCTTTTCTGTCCCTTCCTACATCTACATATAACACACCTAATACATACGAGAACGGCGAACAATGCTGCTCGTCCGACACGCTTCTCTCCCGTTCGTCGCCGTCGTCGTCGATCTCTTTCCACCCTACACGCATGACACATGTGCCGCGCACATACAATGGCAGAGTAGAAGCAACCATACGACGCAAATGAGTGGGCTGCGGGTAGCAAGAGACGAAAATTTTCGATCTTTCCATTGAAGCCTAATTTATCTCATCATTTTTATCCAATGTGCGATTTTAATGATTCGTTAATAATAAGCGATATAATAAACGATGTAATTTAAGCGGATTTCCATGCTATAATCAACCTGACTAGAAAAAAATTCTTTTATCCTTTTAATCTTAAAACTCATTAAAAGAGCAAAAAAGAAATAAAAAAAGCAAGAAAGAAATTTTGAGATATTAATAAATCAAATTTTTTGAATTTTATATATAATTTATAAAATTTACTAACTTTGAGTATAATGCGTTAATTGAAATAATATCGTAGATATTAATTTGCAATTATTTTGTTAAAATATACACATGAAAAACAGCATTCTATATATTTTATTAAACTTATTCGTTTGCAGTATATTACCAACAATATTAATTATTAATTAATTAGGAAATTTATTTATGATATATATGTATATATACACATATTTTAAAAAAACATGTGTGTGCTTAGTTTTTTAAGATTCTATAAATTATAAATAAAATAGGAAGAGATAGATTTTTATAAAGATACTTATATAAATTTCGTATTATAATCTATCTATTTAATGAAATATATAGAACGCTACTTGTCATGATATCCAAAATAAACAGGATGCTTGTTAGAACGTCCTTCAAATTTTCCAACCGACTAACTTATCTTTAATTTCGCGATATATACGCGTTACTATTCTTGAAATATCCATATGATACGATTTAATCGGTATTATAAATATTTCTTTCTTAATCGTTTACTTCTTCAAAACGACGCATCATTATTGCCTCGATCAAAGTGGGCGTTGTGGTGAATGTATATTGTGGTGCTTGCGGATGCACTTGTACTTAATAGCGATGCCGCGAAACATTTGGCAGCGCTCATGGATATTTCTTCCTCCCGCGTTCTCTGGCGTTACGCCCTATCTATCTATGTAGTTCGATTGTGTCCATCGCGCACGCGTCTCTCTTTTTTTTTTCTTCTTTATTCCTTCAGTAAATACTTTCAGTGAACGCGTTCCGCATCGCGTACACGTGCGCCACGCCGGGGATTATGTGACTGATGTGATGACCCGCCATGCATATTGGTAATTGACGAAGGTAGTCGAGATTAGCTCCACGCATCGCACGTGTAAACCGATACCCGCTGCCAGATACGCGTTGTTGATTGATCGCGGCCAATCTTGCACGTGCGGTCCAACTCGGAGAATCTCGGATAGTCGACTTCGCTGTCTCGCCTCGAATGTACAGCTTTCCATTACAGAGCTGGAACATTAATATCTCGTATTATGACAAAGAGAAATATCAGTATGCGATTTTACAAATATCTCTAATTGATTATTATTGAAATTATTATTAATTTTTAAATTATTAGTTAATAATTGGGTTAGGTATTATAATTTTTAGATATTTAATTTAGATATATAACACAAATTAAATATTTGATGAAGTAAGTTCTTTTCGTTAAAAAAATCACAAACGTGTCTTTTTAACTTTGCGTGGAATATTTGATACTCTGTTGGATATTCGACTTTTCAACAGACACTTGATTGAGGATTATAATATGAAAATATAAATAATAAATATAATATAAACTTATGATTAAGAGATAAATCGCATTTTTATCTGGTAACTAAAATTAGTAAGATTAAAATATAAATCAATTTTTGATACGAAAATATACTTTACATCAAATGTGTTTCGTGTATGTTTTCGTTGTACGAGTATATATATATAGATTATTCTATGTTTATTATTACAACATACTGTGTTTATAACATCGGTATCCGAATTTACCGAAACTATGTCGGTTTTTATCTTCAATATGTTATGAAACTCGCGTTATCAAATACGCTTTCTTTCGTACGCATCAATAATATTGAATTCAATGCAATAATAATATGTAACAATGCAACATAATCTACATTTTTAAAAAACTTGATAAAGAGAGAAAGATAATTAATTTAAATCTGAAAGAAAAAAAATACATTAAATTCAATTTCATTAATTTTCTAAGAATAGTTGATTATATCACTGTCGGAATTTTCAATTCTTATAATACGATATATAGCTTCTGTAAATTATAATAATTATTTAAAAAATTGATTTTTTGAAATAGAAAAAAAGAGGTAAATTAAGAAAATTACTAAAAGATAAAAAAATTACTAAAAGATAAATACAAATTATAGGATCTCGCAATATCGGTTTTAACGCATATAGTTTGATCTGTGTATTTCTTACAATGGCGCGCTACCGAGAAGAAATATAAAAGTCGTACTACGTGTCCGCGTGTTACAGGCTGCAGCGAGGACGACGCAGGTGTCGTGGATACAAAGGTGGGCGGAGGTTGCGCGGGTGAAGCGCCAACCGCAGGAGGTGGTGATGCTGCCGGAGATGGAGGTGGTGGTAGCGTTGGAACGCGCGGGGATGGTGGCGGCGACAGCGAGGGCGGATCATCCGCGAAGCAGCAGCAGCAGCAGAGTGGCGAAAGGTGCCCTCAGTGCGGCATCCTATGTCGGGACGTCCGTGTCCTGCAGCTTCATCTCGAGGACACGCACAAAACGTCCTATACCATCGATAAGCACGATCTCAACGCCCAGTTCTCCCAAGTGGTGAGTGATCGCGATGACCCGTCAAGGACACACTCGCTGCTCGGGGGCTTGGTTGTTCGCGTCCTGCGCGGGAACTTATCGATTATACCCCTCCAAAAGCGGGAGCCAGCTTTTCACTGAAAGGCGCCGCTTGTCTGCTTTTCGCACACTATTTTCGCGGAGAAGGGAATAGGAATGTCTTTAAGTAGGGTAATAGAAGATATCAGTTTTGTTGATTTATTATTATTTTTTTTTTTTGTAAGTCTCGGAATAGACAATGCACAAAAGTTTCAGCGTAAGTAAAGAGTATATCAAATGCAATTTACAAAATAAATAAATAAGCATCTACAGATAAGAAATTTTATGCAACTTATGCTATGATAATACTCTGATAATATGCAAAATTATATAAATCATTAGATATATATTTAACATTATGATACTTTTCTATAGAAAGTTTATATTAAAGATCTATCTATCTTCCTTTATAATTGCTATTTGATATAGCATCTCTTTTATACAGTAATGTATAATGTATAAAATATATAAATGACACGATGTTCCTTGTGATTGTGATGAAACAAATTATTTCGAATTAGCTGAATCGTATAAATTTTGAATCTGAACATACGTACCAATTTGTCAATACAACTTCTCAAGATAAGTTATCTTGAATCTAAATCATAAATCAGTTCTTTTTAGTATAAGAATAATATTTACATATATTGGTAAATAAATATAAAACGAATACACACAATAACAAAGCAATAAGAAAACAAGACTTAGAAAACAACAAGCGCCAAAAATTGTTTTCGAAAAAGTTTAGTTATATAAAGAATTTGAACGTTTTACTGTCGTTTCAAATCATTTTCAACAACTGTCAGAATTACAAAATAACACATGTCAATAGAATGCAGTTTGAGCTATAAGATTACATGTAAGAAATTACATACGTGATATCCAAATAAATCGTGCTTTTAGTCCATCTCCAAGGATTCTTAATAATTTCCAGCAAATAACAAGCATGGTAGGCTTTTTATTCAAGTTAAGATTTTATTCATTAAGCTTTCGATTCAAGTTGTTTAGGGAATAAGATTTATCAAGCAAGTTTGAATTCATTTTCCAAATGGACAAACATCGCGAAAAGATCATCATTTAAGAAATCAATACAACACGTTAAAAAATAATTGACGCTTAATAAAAAGAAAGCTATACTCACTAAGAAATATATATCCTCTTATACAATTATATGTATATATTACAATTAGTTTTTTCAATAATTTAACAGTCCTGCAAAGTGTGTAGCAAAACCTTTGCCAACGTCTACCGGTTACAGAGGCACATGATTAGTCATGACGAAAGTGCCGTTTTACGAAAGTTCAAGTGTCCCCATTGCGAGAAGGCCTTCAAGTTCAAGCATCACCTTAAGGTACTTTGTTATTATAATAATCTATTGTAATGCATATTATTTTACTATTATTTATTTTAATATTATATTATTTTTTATATTTTATTTATTTTATATCATTAATATACTATATCATAAAGTAACTATCTTTTCTAATTTTTTCTAATTTAATATTTATTTTTATTGTTTACGTAAATTTATTTTTTTGTGTATTATCGCGCGAAAAAAAATATACGATCTTAATAATGTCTGCTTTTAATTTAAAATTTGACTTTTCCCTTGCAGGAACACCTGCGCATTCACAGCGGTGAGAAGCCATTCCAATGCAACAATTGCGGCAAACGTTTCTCTCATTCTGGTTCATATTCGAGCCATATGACGGCAAAGAAGTGTTTGATAATGAATTTAAAAAAGTCAAGACAAAATACCATAAGTAATGTCGATCGGGGACCGAAAAAAACGCATCAACCGTTATCTGGACGACGCGAGGTTGATCTTCTGACAGCTAATAATAACACGTTCCTACCGATCTTGCCGAAATTGTCACCTTCGGATTATCAAGAAATACAAAGGGAAGCTGCGGCAGGTAATTCTGTTAATGGTCATGTTTTTTTTTTAATATATCTGTTTTTTTATATTTATACTTTGTGTGCGTATGTTTGTGTGTGTTACTACATTTACAAACTCTCTTGTTGATTCTTTCATCTTTTACTTTTTGCGAATTTAATAGGCGATTTAAAAGATATCCTTTTTTTATGAAAAAGTATTGAGATAACGATAAAGTTTTATTTATAAATCATTCAAATAAGAAATTAAAAAGCTCTTTCTATTTTATCAAACTTCAAATGAAAAATAGATAGCATAGCGATATTTTTTAATTGATTTTTATTAAGCGCAATTTTTAAAAAGCGCATTGTAGATTATAAATTTTATCCATCTTAGTTTTGAATATTTCAATCAAGATAAGTTGAAAATCGAGTAATTATATGATAACTTGATATTTTATCTAAAAAAAGATTTGTCGAGAAATTCATAAACGAAAATTTAATAAAACATACCTCATTCTCTATTATCCTAAGTCTGTTTTTTTAATACTTAGGTATCTATGATGTGCCGACCTTGCTGCCTCAGATGATGGGGTACGGAAATTATATCCTGCAGTCTTCGATAGGCAAGCT